AAGGCTGCGCAGCTACCCCCCAGGATGGCGAAGAGACGACGGGGAAGACGGTCCGCGGCTTAGACATTCCCGAGATGCGGTATTCCTTTGAGGCGAGGCCACGCGTTGACGTCCCACGACTTGGCGTCCCTTTTGCGGCGAATTGTGCGTCGCGTGCTATGAGAATCGCAATCAACGACTACCTTTTGTACGTGTCGCGTGCACCAGTTGCGTCTCGCCGACTCGCGAGCTCGAAGATGCGATAAAAAGGTCAGATGCGTTAGGTTGGGTCACGTGAAATGTCGTTTACAAAGGGTTTCGCAAAGGGAGGTTTGGGATTTTTGTTCTCGGAGACACGCAAATTATGTGCGAGATACGGGAAGGGAAGATGCTTAAAGCGAAGATACGTAAAGGGATGGTGTTTAAAGCAATGATACACAAAGCAATACTACGTAAGGAAAAGGTATTCGAAGCGTAGGTATCTACGTGAAAATATGATCCTACATAAAGACCACTATACCGACTATAGGAATCGATTACTCTCGCCACAGAAACGGATGTAAAACTTGAGTAAAAACTCGCGAAATCGTAAAAATTCATCGAAGTAACGAAAAGATTCCGAGCAGCTGGACAGAAGAAATATTTCGGGCAGAATGGCGGCGCCAAAGTTATCCGCAATATCCCGAGTGTGCTCCAGGTAGCGTGTCGGAGCCAGAGGGTATTCGTCGGTGGATGCGAGGGTCCCGCGGGAGTCTGAGCCCGCGTCAGAGCTGGCCGGGTTAGGTTCCCGCGGGAATCAGCTCGACTTCCCTTGTAGCAGCCACCCAGCAGCCAGGTCTACCGCAGCGGAGCAGCCCTTCCCGATGGCTGCTCGCTCGGCTGTCTGGCTGCCTGTCACGAGTCCAAGACGTACGGCTGCTGCATCCGGGGAGCAGAGATAGCAGTCGCTCCGTATAACCCGCAGGGCGCTCCTTTATTCACGGCATATCGATTAATGACTCGAAGCCCTGGTGGCTTCCTAACCGCTCCTCTCCAGCCTACGGGATCGACGTCTCGGGCCATCTCGCGACCTGTCGATCCCCCAGAGATATCGTTAGCGGGATTATCGTAACCGGTAATCGGCGCTCGTCGTTCCTCTTCCTTCGACGCTTTCGCGATCAGCTCACTCTGTTCGCGGTTGTACCCCGAAATTACGAACTCGAGTTGCTTGTAGGAAGATAACGAAATTATTACAATCGTAGTTTGTTTACCGAAGCATATTATGGAATTTATTCTTCGAGACGGAAAAGAAACTTTAATTAGAATATTAAAGATGTTAAAACATGTTAAAACATGTTTTTTCCTGAAAATACCTCTCCTTTTTGTACAATTAGTGTCGTATACTCTTAAAACACAGACTAAAAGCCGATCATAGAAAATTCTTGACGAATCTGAAACTTCGTACAACGTAGAACTCGAGCTTCATATCGTCAGAGAACTGAATGTTAAAGGTCCGTTTAACTCTTCTATACAAGATTGTCAGTTTCAAACGTAAATGTATCGATGTTATCAAAAGTCGTCTGAGCACCGCAACCGACTGCAGTTTTACGGTTCGCCTTTGTCACGCGTCGGTTGGGAATGTATCCGAAGACGTTATCGAAAGTACAACCGCTACCGGGGTTAAGCCGCAATATGCAGTTATCCCCCGACGAGGGTGCACGCGGGTCATAATAATACGTCCGTTTAACGTTGGCCACGACCCCTTCGCCAGGAGGGCCGAGATTGCGACCTGTATTTTCGAGAGCTTACATCGCCATCTTCGTCCTGGTCGGCGAACAGTCCACGGAGCTGTTCTACGTCTAAGACCAGACAGTATTACGGTGCCTTCTTACGCTCATATCGTACGTAAACACAGGTGCACACGCGCACGAAGCCACACGTGGAGCCCAGCTCCGCCTGAGATGATAGCCAATCCCCTTACCTTTACGATTATTGTCAGACCGCGCTATTCTGTCTCGCCGCCGAATTGTTTACAGTATTTACGATAGATCGAGTCCCAGCGAGCAACCAGATGCATACGAAGCAGCCTCGGTTACTCGGTATTCCGCGTGCTGGGATATGCCCACCTCCCCTGGATCTCAACCCTATGGACCGAGAAATTGCGAGTCCAACTTTCCCGTGAACTCTGGATCTTAATTTTGGTTGCTTCGATCGCTATTTTATCCAAGAGTTTCGTGGCTCATTCGGTGAGAGAAGATTGGGAGACAGTTGTTAGTTACGGATGTGGAGGGCGATAGGAATTGAGTAGACTGTTGGATGAAGATGACGATTAGTCGGAGGATCAAGGATTCTAGGGCTTTTTAGGGCCAGGGAAAGAGCATAAAGAACATAGGAAGTGACTTCGCTGCTTCACTTCGGGGTAGAAATTGTTCCTCTACATTGTGAGTTACTATAAACCAGAGTCATTACCTTCGGTACTCGAAAAAGGAGTTTCTTCGTAGCGAAAGTAAAGAGATAACCGGTTCCTCGAAAGGGGCCAAAGTTCAGCAGCAATTATCGAGACAAGATAGGACCAACGGAAAAATCCTCCCTGGCAGGAGTTCTCGATGATGGACGAACCATTAGTTGCTGGTATTGTCGGCTGCGCGTTGCTCGACAGGAGCCTTGACAGTTGACAGGGTTGGAGGGTGCGAAGGTTCAATCGAAGGGTGGTTGCCAGCAGTGCCTTGGCCTGATGTCTTCTGGAATATTTAAGACCAGCTTCCATCCCTTGGTTCGATGCGTTCGTTGTTTCTCGTCTGCGGGCTAATGCCTCTTGCATGGGAAGTATGATCGTCTCTCTGTCTGTCTCGAGGCTTTCCGATAAACTCCATGGTCGCAGGACTTTCCTCTGGTAGCTTCGTCAAACTTTTCCGATTACTATGCTCTCCAGGAGCGCATCGGTGTCTTGTATCTAACTTGTTCGTTGGATACTTTACGGTTCTTCGTAACTTCGGAGCTAATTTTTGCGGAGGCGCTCGTTATCGTTCGGAATAACAAGTGTAGGGTGCTCGCGGAGATTTCTGTCGGTCAGACGCTTTATACTGTGTTTGGAGAAGGAGGATTTTTAGAGATTGGAGGAGGTGTGACTTTTGGATACCGATGTAGGTGTTCTTCGAAGTTAGAAGGTTCAGAAAGGACAGAAGGTGGAAATGGTGTGTCTCTCGTTCTCAGTTTAGTCAGTCTAGTGGATTCACTGATAAGGCTACCTAGGCAGCACTATTTGTTTTTAACCATTTGAGGGATACTTACACATGTGTGTATTTGCTTTAACCACGTATTCGACTATCTTACGATTCAAATTCCAACTTTGGATATTTTACTCGGCTCTCTACTAGAATAACCCTCAATGATTAATCGTATATGTATATCGACTGATCTCGTTTATCTAAAAGCTGAAGGAGAAAAGAATCGCGCGCTCGAAGTGGCAAGTTTGTCGATCTCGTGACCGGGAAGGAGAGAAAGAGAGGATAGGATAGAGAGAGGATAGAATACAGTGGGAGAAGAGTTGGAGGGAATGGGAGGTGGTTGCATGCAAAATAACAAACGACCTGTTGGCCACGTGGACAGCGGTGTAATTTTTTAAGTTTAATTTTGTGGTCCCACGTGACAAACGGATGGCTCCTACTGTACGGCAGTCACGTCAGTGCGCTCCCCGGGTATATTTCATTCCGAAAACACGGTTCGTCGTTTCGCTTTTGATGATATACAGCGACGAACGGTTCCTCGCCCACAGCCAGGATACTTTACGATCGCGAACCTTTTGGACGCGATTCGAAAACTTCCCGTGGCCGTTTTCCGCGGAAGCGAGGTGCCCTTTGTTCTGAATGGAGTTTTCACCGGTCGAACAAGCTTCCACCAAATGGGACCCGGTTTTCTGGATTGCGAAAGAGGAAACGCTGATAGGATAAGCGTTCGAGTCGAGTACAGTGCGGTCCATAATATGTGGATACGATTTCGGAATTGTCTGGAGTTTGGAAAGTGGAGGAAAAGGTTTAACGAGGGTTTACGCAAAATTGGGTGGTAAAAATGATGAGTGGACATTTTTATTATTTAATTCGAAGGTAGTTGTTGAACGAGTAGTGTGACACGTGTTTGAACCAAGTACGGGTTAACTGTAATTATTATTTAATTAATAAGGCCACCTTCCAAAACCTCTAAGGCGTGGCGCAGATCATTAGGAGGGTCGAAAAGGGTCGATTCTTATTATGTCTCGAACGTTTTTGACCCTCTTTGCTAGCTCTGCCTTATAAAGCAGTAGTAGCAGAAGGGTGCATATCGTAGTGCTATTTTAAACATGAAATTCTTAAAAACTTAATGGTTCCTGTTAAATAATCGTAGTTTTTATAGCATTTTTATAATTCAACGCAAGTGCAGGTTTTACCACGTCGAAAGAAATTGAAAAATAAATGAATGGAAAGGAAAGTCATGTTTGGAAACCAAAATTGAAATAACAAAACGTAACTGTTATTAATTTAAGAATAGCCAATAATTGGTTTTTTATTTGTATTTTAAATGTTATTCTGAGACTAAACACGCACAAAGTATATAATGAATTATTTAAATATTCCCTATCGTATGCGATACAAAACTTATTGGTTCTTATCGAATCCTAAGAAAAACTGAAACAATCAGACCACGACCCAGTAGAATTTTTGTCATCCTTATTCCATCTTCTAAATTATGCCCACATTCTCCTCGCTTTGCCTTGTAGGTACTCTTGGTGAAGCGCTTCCGCGAAAGTTATTCGCGTCGTTACGTTTGATACGTAAATCTTGTTCAGTAACTGGCCGATAGTCCGCAAAAAGCTTCTTATTAATCGTTCCACGAGTCTCTTTGTGTTACCCGCAATCCATATTCATATCGCGTGGAGTGCGAGGCTCTTTCGCGCACAGGGCTCGAATTACAATTTTATTGGTTGTTTTTCTTGGGAAATACAGATTTTATTCTTCGCCGGTGATATGCAAATGAAACGGAATTAATGGTTGCTTGTCCCTCCGCAGGAGACGAAGAGTGGGACGACGGTAACGAGCAGAATGTCCTGGAGGCGGCCGAGCAGGATAATGGGACAACGGGAATTAAGCGTGAGTGTTGCTAAATACTTTGCCTGTTATCAAATATTTACGGAAATCTGCTGGCCAATTTTTTCGGTTTACCGTTTTTTTCTCTTTCACAAGTTTTCGTCGATTTTAACGGACACAAATGTTTTTTGTAGACCATAAAAGAACGTCTTTCTTTTTTGCTCTGTTGTATTTAAATTGGTAAGGCGTGTTTCCAAATTGTATTCATTTAAACTTTCCTAGAATGCATAATATAATAATGGAAATTAAAGCATGTATACATTTAGGTCTTTACTTTTGGCCAATGCTAAGAAATATATATATTATATATATATGTGTCAATTAGACAATTTAATCTGGTCAATTTCTTTTTACAGACGACGAAGAGGAGGATGAGGAGGAGGAGGAGGAGCTGCAGCGTGCGTTCAGTCTTCACTCCGAGGGTGAGTAAAATAATTCAATAATTGTACACTTCGAAATTATAGGGTAACGTTGTTTTTATTCATATCGATTGATTAAAGAAAACCTCTGGTCAAATTAAGTGCCAGGGAAACTCTCGAATTAATAAATACAAAACATCGAATTTCACGAAATAAAAATATATATTTTCCAAGTTCATTGAATACTAAATCAATATTTAAAAAAAATACTTGCACGCTCGCCATTTTGGAAAACACCGAACTCGAGCATACTTTGAGCGCGAATACAACGAGAACGTTACAGAATCACCGTGGTATCCGATTCGAAACGTCGAAGAAATAATCTGATCCTCCCCGATGTGTTTCGCGTGCTGTATTCGTTTCTCGGCCAGTTAAAAGATCAACGCACAGGTTGCATTCTGGTCTGTTCGAAGATCTACTTTCGCGAATCTCTCGGCATGGGCTTTGAATACTCGGGACAATGAAGTATTGCAACCAGGCAACCGTAGTTATGCGCGTAACAATAGGGCAAGAATTGAGGGAGGCGTGTGTAGTCGTTGCATTCTGGTGCATTACTTTTATCAGTTCTCGCGGGACGTTGCCTTGCACTACCCGCGACGCAACAATGCGTTCAGACGCACCGTCATTGTTCGTAGACACTCAAGAAACATAGACCCACCTTAGACTCTATGAATATGGGATTCCTTCGTCCCGAAGGATACGACGGTGCCGCGCGAATCGCGCGACGACCGATGAGGACACGTTTTACTCGCTGGAGATGGGATTTATCATTATTTGAATATTCTTATTGGAATATCGTTATTCGTATATTCCTATTGGAATATCATTATTAAAATATTCTTATTGGAATATCGTTATTCGAATATTTAAACTAGCACGAAATTGGAAAAAATAAAAAAAAAAAAAAAAAAAAAATTCTAACAGTACATTTTACACTTTTACACTTTACATTTGCATTTTATATCTAATATACGTACATACATTTTGTAAGTTTTTCTATAATCTAACGTACAACAAGAATATGCCGAATATCTATTTACCTATATACATTTCACAAGCTAGTTGCTAATTTCCGATAATAGTGTGGATCGATGATAAACAGTGCAAGATAACCAATTACCAAAGTTTGGTTTTCCAAATTGTAGGATGTAACGATGTTGCCTTTCCATTCCGGTTGTCGCATTAAATTTCATGGAAGGGTTGTTTCCAGTCGAAATTTCTCCACATATCGTGCATAGCATATAGGTGGGAGAAGAAGTACTAGCTGTGGCAATTCCTTTCAGAATGGTAATAGGGGCTCAGGTGGCAAAGGTGATCCGACCCTGCTTATTATGTCGATATATCGTAGCTAAAGTACAGGCAAGGAACAATAGTATCTTAACGATACGGGGCTGGCATTGTTTTTCCCCCTCGTGCATCATCTAATATCCTCTTACAACTCCTCTCTTCATCTCTATGCTTTTATTTTCTTATCTATTTTAGGAAATTCTAATTGTAATTCTTCTTTTTCGTTTTTTTAATTCCTTCGATACCGTACGCGATACACTGAAATTATAGTAACGCGTTCAACATTGGAAATTTTCATTAATTACCCACTCAACGTTTTCATATATGGTCTCTTCGAAAAATCGTCGTCGTTCATCTCTGACAGTGGTAAAAAATCGTCATACGGAACAATGAATCAGATATTAGCGGAAAAATTGTCCACTTTCGACGCGGTTGCAACCTCGAAAATACGCAGTGAATCTCAATTAAACGAATTACATCGATTCACGCTCGCGTGCGGAATAAACGCCCGGAGCACGAACATTTTCCACGAACAGCTTTATGCATCCCAGAGCATAATATTCTTCGGAAATCGAGCGCCCCCGGAGGATTCATCCTTCGCGAGCTGGATGATTGTATAATTATACCGTCGAAAAGTTAGTATTGTTTGTAAAATATCCCGAACGCATCAACCAGGAAACATAAAAGGTTCTCCGAAAGAGGAGTTTTATGACTTTTTTTTTTTTTTTAATCGAACATGAATGCTACATGAAATTATCCCATTTATATAACTTAAAATATATTACATATTTTTACATTTTAAAATTATATGCGAATTATATTTTACAATTGAGTAATTTGTAATATAATTCCTATAGTATATTACAGTATATAATCTATACTATCGCAAGTAATAGCATGTACTATAGTAGTATATATTGTTAAACTTTTACTTGTTCATCGTGACAAATGTTTTATAGTAAATAATTACAATTTTGTCATCCACTCAGCCTACGAATTTGACGCAAATAGAATAGAAACAGAAAAAATTCAAGTCGAAAGGGTTAAGAAATTGCGTTCCTGAAATTTCGTTCCTGCTGTGATGTTCAGGGCGTGTCTGACGGTACCCAACAAGTGAAAACATCTTGAAGAGGCCTAGAAACCCAGTCTCTCGCGTTGACACGTTGCATTTACCAGACACGTATCCAGCTCGTTAAAAGCCCCGAAGGCTTCTTCGGTTGGCGTTTCACGAAGCCTCTCGCGTAATCTCGTCTAACGATTCCCCGAGACCAATCTCTCCCGAGCCCCTATAAAATTTCGCGAGTCGTTGTTACGTAACCGGGAAGAGCCCAGCTACGAAAGATTCGTACCTTGGCGGACGGCAGGCAGGACCTCTTCCTCCCTCGAGGAGGAAGCGAGATCCGACTTTTATCCGTTTCCTCCCTGTACCGGCCGATTATTATTTCAGGTTACCTTTCGCCAAGTGTACTTGCGCGCGCTTTATACTCCAAGGTAAAACCGGCTTGGAGGAGCTCGGAACGAGGTTGTATCCCCGAGGAGGCAACCGTCTCCCACGGGAGATGCCTCGATGCCTCTCCTCTCTCTCTCTACCTGTTCGCCTGAAAACATCGAGGCTCCTTCGTTTCTTTAATACATGGCCTCCGCCGACGCTGCTCATTACCTCGGAATAAAATGACGCAACCGTTAGTGCTACAGGATTTTCCAGCGTCGTTTTTTAGTCCCCCACAAGAGGCATTCGTCAGGGTCTAGGAATAGTTTGAATTGCGTACGAAGTAGCACTGGGAGTTCTGGAATCACGAGTATATATTAGATATTTTTGGGATTTTGGGGATACGTTTAACTCGTTCACTGGCAGGGAAATTTGAAGCGTTTCGCCTTGGCCGCCAAGATTTAATCCATATGTGTAGTCTGGGTTATTATTTTGCTAATAAAACGTGATACTAAATTTGTTGTTTTAGAAAGAAAATGTACGATCTTTTTAAGCAATAATTCGTGAGTCAAACGTCTATAAACGTATCCCTTGAGTAATTGCAATCAGTTTCAACTACGAGACATCTGACAACAGAAAATTAATTTTTACTCGTTATAGTAAACATGTTTCATCAACCCCCCAAACGTGAGTCTTTTCGTGGATCGGCCTGTACACACCCCTCTCCAGTTGCATATGATCGGTGTATTATGATTACCCTGGGAATATTGGCTCGGTCTCATCCTCTGGAGGTCGCGTAGTCGAGTGACGAGGGGGTTGGGGATGGGTTAACGCCTTACAGCGGCCACCGCTAGAAGAATCCAACCGAGGGGGATGGCTTCTGCGCGATGCTGTTGCTAGCTTTTTCCAACGGGAAAAGGGTTGTCGTCGCCGCGAGTCTCAGCCCTCGGTGGGTCTCGATTATTCGAACAACACGCCTGGCGCATCCGTTCTTTTCCTTGTTTTCTTCATCCCCCTTACCGCATCGAGTCGGGTGCAGCCAATTAGGAATTAGCGACGCGCGTATATTGTCGGGCAACAAACGATCCTCGGGCCGTCGAGGATCGCGTTCAGCTAACTGAATAGGAAACTGTTTGCTTGGAAACGATTCGAGGAATTGAGAAAAGCTGACGATCGCTGGATTAACGCGTTGCCGAACAATCAGATTGTTCTTTCAATCAATTTCAACGGGCTGTGAGGCTCGTCGTTGGTACTTTTCAAACATCCTGTAGCTGGTTGCCTTGTGCTGATAATTTGGGTATGGTTCTTAAGTAGATTGAGTGCTGTTGGGTTCGATTTTTTATTTCAAGAGTTTCACGATTTTTCGATTATTATAGAATATAGAATTAGAATTATTATTGTTAATATAGAACTACCTACAAAATATTTAAATATCGAAAGGCTTGATAATTCGCTATTCAAACTGAAAGATAAATGACCGAGCCCCGTAGGACCACGCAGAATTTTACAATAATTTTTGGAATGCTTCCAATTCAGGATCACAATGTATAATAAAGGATTAATCATTCGCACTGTCCAGAAGTCAATAGAAAAATAAAAAAAAACGTTGATCCTTTCATTTTACTGTTGATTTTTTGATAGTGCGAGTGATACTATCAGCTGGGACAGGTTCGTAGTGCAATCCGATAATGGTTGAACGAAAAAGTTGTCGAGTCGGTCCCGTGACGGATTGAAATCTCTGACATTAAGAAAATGGGGATCGCAGCTCCCAGTGGGAGAAGTTGGAAGGTCCTTCGACCTGATGGTGGGTGACGAAAAGCGAGAGGGTGGTAGGAAGATTATGCGAAAGCTGTTTGAGAAGCAACGTCTGCACTGTCTTTTAAGTATTACCGATAAGTACTGATACCTCACCTTCCAAAAAATAATAACGTTACTTCACTCTGCCGAAATTGTATAGAAGAAAAAAAAAACAAAAAAAAATCATAAATAATGTAAAGGGGACAAAAATAAGTTTATTTTATAGTTGATACAGGTCTTGTTCTTTTTCTATATTATTGGAGTGATACGTAAGATCGTTCGTTACTTATAATGGAAAATTGATTTGGACACATGAAAGCTATCGTTTGAATCAGACAAATTTTTTGAATAGATAGAGAGAGTACGAATACTTACGGGACTGGTTACGTATATCCGAATTTCGATTTAACGACTAACGGAATAAACAATTGCACGTCTTTTGTTCGTAACCGGCGGTGTTTATCCGGATAAGAATTCTGGCCATCTCTGT